TTACAGCCAGTGGACCCCAGTGACACCAGTGGATCCCAGTGACACCGGTAGATCCCAGTTAGTCAGTGGACCCCAGTGACACCAGTGGATCCCAGTTACAGTCAGTGGCTCCAGTGTCAGCCAGTGGATCCCAGTGACACCAAGATATCCCAGTGACACCAGTGGATCCCAGTTACAGCCAGTGGCTCCAGTGTCAGCCAGTGGATCCCAGTTACAGTCAGTGGCTCCAGTGTCAGCCAGTGGATCCCAGTGACACCAGTGGATCCCAGTTACAGTCAGTGGCTCCAGTGTCAGCCAGTGGATCCCAGTGACACCAGTGGATCCTGGTGCCAGCCAGCGCCATGGGAACACCGGCACCACAGAGGGACCACCGGCACCATGGAGGGACCACCGGCACCATGGAGGGACCACCGGCACCACGGAGGGACCACCGGCACCTTGGAGGGACCACCGGCACCTTGGAGGGACCACCAGCAGCACGGGGGGACCACCGGCACCTTGGAGGGACCACTGGCACCATGGAGGGACCACCAATACCATGGAGGGACCACCAATACCATGGAGGGACCACCGGCACCATGGAGGGACCACCGGCACCACAGAGGGACCACCGGCCACCCCGGGCGCGCCCCCCACCCTAGGGACAGGGCGCGGAGGCGTTGCGGAAGCGCGGCCAGAGGCGCAGCAGCTCCCGCGGCCCGTAGTGGTGCACCATGACCAGGCGGGAGAACCGGCACCGCTCGTACTCCAACCGGTACATGCTGAAGGCGCCGGGCGGCGGCTCGGTCACCGCCACGCCCAGCGCGTGCAGGCAGATGCCCACGAAGGCGTCCTCCATGTTGATGAGCGGCAGCGTCTGCGCCACGCCGAAGACCCGCCGCGCCACGTCCGCCGAGAGCACGTAGGCCGGCCCGCCGCAGTAGGGCGGGTAGGTGTCGTTGGGGTACACCTCGCGCGGCACGAACCACTTGTAGGCGCGGTCCCGCAGCGGCCCGGTGCGGCGGTACACGTAACCCGTCACGAAGTCGTTCTTGGGCGGCCTCAACAAACCCGCCAGGTACTCCAGGTTGAGGAAGACGTCGTGGTCGGCCTTCATCACGTAGCTGGCGTTGGGGCAGAAGCGGCTCACCCACTCGAAGCCCATCAGCGTCTTGAGCGTCAGGTTGTTGTAGGTGTCGGCGAAGTCCTGCTGCAGCAGGTCGCCGTGCAGCGCGTCCTCCTCCTGCAGCACCGGGCGCAGCTCGGCGTCGAAGACGGGGTGAACGCCCAGCAGGAAGAGCCGCAGCACCGACAGCCCCGGCACCGCCGCCTCGTCGCCCCACGTGCGGCGCACGGCGTGCCGCGCCGCCAGGTCGGACGGCGAGGTCACCACCAGCAGCACCAGGAACGGCGCCCGCTCCCGGCACTTGTCGGGGTGGTTCAGGAGGAAGCGGTAAGGGTAGGGGTACGGCGGCTGCAGCGGGTGCCGCGTCGGCTCCGCAGCGTTGCCGGGGCGCCGGGTGGGAGCCGGGGGCGGCGCGGTGCCGGCGGCGGGCACCGCCGGGCGCCGGGCGTGCAGGGCCAGCAGGGCCAGCGCCGCGGCCGCCGGCAGCAGGAGCAGGCGGCAGCTCGGCGGCAGCTTCATGGTGGGCCTGAGGGGTGGGACGGGGGGAGCTCGGGGTGGGTTTCGGCACCGCCGGCGCCGCGATCCCGCCGGGATCCCCTGGGATCGGGCGTGCCGACGGTGACGTGCCCGAATCTGGGCGCTCGAATCCCACCCGCGGCGGGATCCACCCGGATCCTGGTTCCATGAGCAGCCTGATCCCACCCAGATCCCGTTCCCCGAGCCCCCCAATCCCACCCAGATCCCGTTCCCCGAGCACCCCAATCCCACCCAGATCCCACTCCCTGAGCACCCAATCCCCCCAGCACCCCAATCCCACCCAGATCCTGGTTCCATGAGCAGCCCGATCCCACCCAGATCCCGCTCCCCGAGCCCCCCCATTCCACCAGGACCAGGATCCCACCCAGATCCCATTCCCTGAGCCCCCCAATCCCCCCGGCACCCTGATCCCACCTGGAACCCACTCCCTGAGCACCCCAGTCCCACCAGGACCAGGATCCCACCCAGATCCTGGTTCCCTAAGCAACCTGATCCCACCCAGATCCCGCTCCCTGAGCACCCCAATCCCACCAGGACCAGGACCCCACCCAGATCCTGGTTCCCTGAGCAACCTGATCCCACCCAGATCCTGCTCCCTGAGCCCCCCAATCCCCCCAGCACCCCAATCCTACCCAGATCCTGGTTCCCTGAGCACCCCAATCCCACCCAGATCCCATTCCCTGAGCCCCCCAATCCCCCCGGCACCCCGATCCCACCTGGATCCCGCTCCCTGAGCACCCCGATCCCACCAGGACCAGGATCCCACCCAGATCCCATTCCCCGAGCACCCCAATCCCACCCAGATCCCATTCCCTGAGCCCCCCAATCCCACCCAGATCCCATTCCCTGAGCCCCCCAATCCCCCTGGCACCCTGATCCCACACAGATCCCACTCCCTGAGCACCCCAGTCCCACCAGGACCAGGATCCCGCCCAGATTCCACTCCCTGAGCCCCCCAATCCCCCCAGCACCCCAATCCCACCCAGATCCTGGTTCCCTGAGCACCCCAATCCCACCCAGATCCCTCTCCCTGAGCCCCCCAATCCCCCCGGCACCCTGATCCCACCCAGATCCCTCTCCCTGAGCCCCCCAACGCCCCCTCCCCACTCCCCGTTTCCCCTTCTCCATTCCCGGTTTCCCCATTCCCAGTTTCCCCATTCCCGGATCCCTCCGTGCCCCATTCCCGGTTCCCCCTCCCCATTGCCGGCTTCCCCATTCCCAGTTTCCCCCTCCCCATTCCCGTTTCCCTCTCCCCATTCCCACTTTTCCCATTCCCAGTTTCCCCATTCCCCATTCCCGGTTTCATTCCCGGTTCCCCCTCCCCATTCCCGGTTCC